GGTTTTGCTGGCGTCCAGACTGCGATTGCAGAGGGCCTTGCTGGGCCACCCTGCCGGAGGGCAGTCCCGATTCGGCTTCGCTCCATGTTGATGAAGGCGGTATCCAGGTCAGTTTACAGGTCGTGCTCTCGCCCCTGCAGTCGGAATGCCATGAAGCTTTTGGACCTTTTAGGGCATTTTGGGCCAAGTAGCCCTATGAACACATCGTCCTTTGCCTTGAGAATGTCACTAAGACAGCCGAGATGGTCACTGAGCTCATCAGCCTTGCCTTTCTTCTTTTCGAGGGTTGTTCGCCCCTTGCTTGCGCCTTTTGAGCCATGCCGCCGTCCAATGAAAGCACGGTTGGCCTGGACACCTTGGACAACTGGAAGAAGGGATGCAATCCTTGACTTTTCCAGGGGGCTCCCAAGCGCTGCCCTGCGCAGATTCGGGGAGAAGCTTGGCGTGTCTATGTTCGACGCCCAGATCTGCCATCCGTGCCACCTGAAATCGTTGAGAAAAGTGGCATGTGTGGCCAATCCTGGGCGATTTCAGGAGGGGCCTATGATTGGAGTGGTGCAGATGATGCTGGCCTTTGCCCCACTTCTTCCCTTTCCTTTGGAAATGGATCTTTGCTTTGAACAGCGGCTGCAGATTACATTCTTGGATTTCTTGGCTCATCAGTGCAGATGCCGCGCGAGTCTATCAGTTCATTGGGGCCAAGCCTTTGCGAGGCATGGAGATCTGTTGAAAGACAGTAGATCCATGTCGGCTGTGAAGGTTCAGCTACAACAACAAGGACCAAGTAGCTGCGGGGCCGACGTTTCCTTGCACTGTGCTTGGTTCAGCTTGAATTCTGTACCCTTGGCAGCTCTTCATCCGCGTGACATCAAACCAATCATTGGTGACAGATCCACACAAGGCGTGTGGCATAGCCACGTGTCGGCAAAGACTCAGCTCCTGCAGGTGCCAACTCCTAGGTCCTTGGAAACTTGTGTAGTAGCGCAACTCCCTTTGAAGAAGCTGAAGAGATTGAAACGCAGTCTAAAGAGTCGCCCCGTGCTGTGCGGACCAAGCAACAGTCTCTGCAGTGCTTTGGTCAGCCGGACAATTCAAAAGCCGATTGCGACCGCAAAAGATCTGGACGCCCCGATGGCCGCCGCTCTCCAAAAGCCTCAAGAAGTGAAGGATCGGCTTGGAATTCTTAAGGTTCCGGCACCAATGGTACCATCTGCGAAAAGAATGACTGAATTGGCCCGCACCATGTTGCTGCGACCACAGCTGTCCCCGGTTCAAGAAGCTTTTCTGGCAAAACGCTTTGAACGACTTTTTGTATCGTGGTGGCGTCTGATGAGCTTTGTACCCAAGGAATTGCTGACAGTTGCGGTGAACATTTTGCAGGGGCGGCACTGGATTCTTCGCAGAACTTTTAATTCCGACATGCTTCACGGGCACAGCCCGGAGTGCTTTGACGTGGTCGAAACCAGACACGTTGGTGCGGCAGCCGTTGGGCAGGATCTTGAGAAAATTGCAAAGGAGTTTGCGTGGCAGCCGTTAGATCTTAAGAACGTGCCTGCAATCCGAGTGCTTTTGGTGACCTTTGGTGACACCGGGAAGCAGAGCCCAGAATCTCAATGTTTGCTGGTGGTGAAGGTCCACCACGTGGCATTTGATGGGCTTTCTCTGGCAATTTTGGACAAAGAGTTTCGTACTCTTTTGAGTCAGGAGTGTTCCACCAGTGAGTGCCGCAGCCAGCTTGGACCATTGTACTTGAATCTGGGCCAATCAGAAGCTATGAGCGCTCTAAGTCTCAAGCTGCCACCCAGCCCAGGTCAATTTCATCGGTATATTCAGTGGATGCACGGTAAGCATTTGTCAAGTGAACGTGGGCGCAGAGATCATGCATTTTGGTCTCAACAGTTTGCTTCCTTGCACCTTCCTGTCATGCCGATGCCGCAGGAGAATCACGGTCAGCATGCGATCGATATCGCTTTCCCAAAAGGGTTCCCGCGAGAACATTCGAAGCTTCTTGCATTGTTTGCTTACTGGCAGTGCTGCTGGAAAAAACGAGAGGAAGTCATCATTGGTGGCCCCTTCCACGGCCGGCCAAACGAATTTTGGCATACGGTCGGGTGTTTCGCGCACCTGTTGCCCTACATCATCCGTATGCCAAAACCCTTTGATCTGACTCAGCTGCTGGAAGATGTAAAGAGAACAGTTCGAGATGTACACGAACATGGCCTTGTCCCATTGAAAGTCTGGGGCTTCGACCTAGCTTTCGAAGCCATTCTCTATTGGGAACCTCGTGGCGGTTGGGCACAAGAGGATTCTGCAGGATGTTCCAGAAACCTGATTCCTCCACCTTTGCCTCTGGCAGATCTCGTCCTCCGAGCATTTGTTTCGAATGGATCCATTGAAACAAAACTTCATGTCAGTGGCAACTTCACTCGGCAACAGGCTCAACAGATGGCAGATTCTTTTGGGAAACTGGCAGTTGACTTTGTTGAGAGACCCTTGAAGCTAGCCCAACCAAACCTGACCAAATCAGCATGTGATGAGTGTGTGCATGGGTTCTGTATAGACTGTGTGGATCCAGAGATTTCAAGTAGAAGTTGGAGGGTTTCTTGGAAGCCTCCGCTACTTTCCACAAAGCTTGCAATCTGTTGCAACAGCTCTACACGATGTGAGCGGGATTTGCATGCATTTTTCAACCATTCTCGGGTGCGAAGACGTCGAAAACAAGCTGCTGACTGAGTCGTCGTCGAGTTTTTGGTCTCGTCCAGGAAGTGAAGTGTTGTGTGGAAATGATGCAACATGGCGTTGCGCAAGTCTTGTTCTTTGATGTAGAAGTATGGAAAACATCATTGCGACAATTTGGCAGGTGCAGATGAAGACCGGCGCCTTCAGCACCCACATTCAGTATACATGTTCCTTTGATGAATCGTGAGAAAAACAGGAGAAATTGCAGATGTCAACTGAATACTTGAGGGATTTTGGAGATTTTTGCTGATTTGGAGATTCCATGGTCTCTAACAAAGGGCTCACGGGAAGAGCGCTACAGTAGCTGCTTGTCTTCTTTATCGAATCAGCCGGTGCTTTCACTGGCCTGTGCTTTTGGACTTTGCTGGAGCCACTTGTAGCGGCGCCACATCTATTGGTACATGGTCAGGGTGACATGTCCTGAGTGCATCAACTCATCTACTCAAGTCTGACCCCCCTGCCTCTAGGAAATGGCGTTCTTTCAAGTAAATTCCAATTTTCACACCTAGCTCACTCATTTTCAGCATCTTCCAGGTTTCAGTGTGGTCAATCGTTGTGCCTGCAATGATTGCTTCCAGTGGCTGCTAGTCGACTTCAGGAAGCATCTTCTGGATAATTTCCATTTCCTTGCGCCATTTTGTATCTCCACATTCTGACTCCGTTGTAGCTATCTGGTGTTCTAATGCTTCAAGCTGCTGTTTGCAGATGGATACTCACTTGCTGCACTTCTTTAACACTTGGCTCAACAAGCTTAGTAGATCAGTACTGTTTTCTTCGCTGCCTACTTCATCCACCTAGTCTCAGATCTGACCACTGGATACCTTTGGGGTTGGATGCTGCATTCCCGATCATCCCGTACCTGAGAAACTGCGAAGATTTCTGAGCCTCGCCGGACTCAAAAGCGATTGATGATGAAAAGCTCTCCGACTTGCTGTTTTCCTTCTTTTCCCGGCCTGCTAGGCAAAGCCTCCTTGATCCTCTTTGTAGGCGCAGGCAGACTGGTCGAGATCCATCTTTGAGAGGGAACTGTGGACTCAGTCAGCAAGATGCTCCTCCAAAGTACCTATGGATCCGGTGGTAAATGGATCTCACGAAACATCATCGCACCAACATCCATATGGCCAGAAGCAAAAAATAAAGAGTTTAGCGTTTTCGTGCCATTTTCATCCATGGCAGGTTTTTGCCAATTTTTCCGGCATACCATTCCGCGCGATTCAATATCTTTCTCATTATCGCCAGCTGTCATCGTGAGATGTGTTTTCCTTTCTGTTCAGACCAAAGCATTCTTCATGGCCAGATGTTTCGGAAACTACTTGCTCGGTCCCTTTTTGTTAGCCTTTGGTCTCTGGACGCCGCTCGAGGGTCGGCGGAGGGGAAGATGGGCAACCACTTTTTTGGTTTCAAAGCTCCTTGAAATGTGTCGCGACTAACGGTCTAACGCGGCGTGTGTCGCACGGAAAGGATAGAAAAGACAGCGATGACAGCGATGACAGCGATGTCTCGGGAGTTTGGATGACAGCTGGGCTGGTGGGCACGTGTGCTGGTGGGCCCCCCCCAGAACCGATGCATAGCACGGTGAAATGGGCTCCTACTAGGTTGGAGGCCATCGCTATATAGTAGGTTGGAGGCGATCGCTAGTAGATTGGAGGCTATTGCTATTAGGTTGGAGGCTCCTATTGGTGAAGGTTCCGGTTTTCTTTGCCAGGTATCTCCTTGAAGAAGCTGCTGGCCTTTCATCCTGCAAGATAAAAGGAATTGTAAAGAGTGCCATGCCACTGAATTTGGGATCATTCCGATCGGGTATTGCTTTTGCTCGTTGCACATCAAGTTCTCATAGGTTCTTCCACGTCGTTTCATTGTCCTTCAGCAACCTTCAGCTACCTTTTGATTTTCATCGAGCAAGCCTGTTCCGAGTTCAGAAGAGCCAGACCTCTTTTGACATCTCGACAAAGTCACCATGAAGAAGTCAATTCTAATCGAAATCTCGTTAAGTCGTAGAGTGGGATCTTCGGTTTCTGCATAGGAGCCTCCAATTGAGCTTAGTACACGAGAGATCAGCAATTTTGCTTGACCTGACGACCCCAAAGGGTCTGGCTCAATGCGTTGACTGCTCACGTTGCAACAGGCACTGACTTATCAAGAGCAAGTGCCTCTAAACCGACTAGATCTGGATGTTGCAGAATATTCAATTTGGCCTTCGGTCATATGGGGTATGCACTGCCTGACTACACATTTTTCCAGACACTATTCTTTGCCAAGACATATTTCTGACCTATCACGTCTTTGTTTCAGCAGTGTCCATGGTTTCCCGCAGCGATCGAAGGACAACGACCACCGCTGCTTATTCACTCCACGAGCACGTGCCAGCAGATCGCTGGTGTGTGACTTTCGCAGACTTGAACTTCTTGAGACAGGAACTGCAACGTGCCATCCGCTGTGGTGAACTGGAGCCCCTGACCGATGGGGACACTTACTGGGAAGATTATGGGCCAAACATTTACACGGTGAATGAGCAATATATCAAGCCTGTGACACTGGGTGCCGGCAAAATCAGTTGGGCTTTGATGCGAAATCGAGACGGTTTGGACTGTGATTTGTTCATCAGCCATGCGTGGCAAGAGGGTGTTTTTGAATTCTTAGCCAAAGTGAAACACTCTTGGCCCAGAGGTTTGCGACATGCTTGGTGCTGTATGCTTGCCAATCCTCAAAACTTGAATATTGAGCGCTTCTTGGCCTCGCCAATCAGTTCGCCATTTGCCGTTGCATTGCGAGCCTCTGAAATCGTATTGGTGGTGCCTAACCGTCACACGAGTGTTTACTCGAGGCTTTGGTGTGCCTATGAGGCCTACCTGGCCCAAGAAGAGGATAAAACCATTCTGATTGCCACAGCCTCACATTTCTATGACCATTTGTATTTGTTGCTGCAAATGTTTGGGGCAGCATTCTTTGGTGCTTGTGCAGGTAGGACGCTCTTCTTTATGGACCTTAGGGGCCCGATTGGATCTCCAGCCTTGATAGGCATTTCCTCTCTTCTGAGTCTGTCGATCCGGAGCAATCTGCTTCGGATGGTCCTGAACTGTGTCGGCCAGGCGGTCGTCTGGTTTCAATTGACCGATTTCTACGTGTACATCAGACCTCTGCCGGGTCAACAGTGGCACATCTCGAGGGACATTGTGGCTGCCACTCGCGTGCTCTTCTGGCTGGTGGCTTCACTTCTTTTCTATACCATGGACTTTGACCGTGTTCGAGGGAGATGCACGAAGTTGGAAGCCCAAATGCTCCGCCAGGGCTACTCTGGCATTGAAGATGCAGAATGTTCACAAGAGGCCGATGAGCGAGCCATTCGCAGCGAGATTGGCAATCAGGTTGATGCCGTGAACCATGCCATTGAGGTCTTGATGAGCGCTGGCATGTCAACGCCAAAGCTCCGGGAGCTTGCTCATGCAGGGGTGAACATTAAAGGTGCAGCGTTTTCTGAAATCACTGGACCGGTGCTCTTGCTTGGCCCTTTTGGGACACTGGTAGCTGTGGAAGCTGCAATGACGTACATGCTTGAGCATGGCGGTTACTGGTGGTTTCTTGCAGTTTTCCCAAGTGTAGCTGTGCTTGGGAGGGTGATTTTGATAGCTCTGCTTTGCTTGAAACCAAGGGATGAACGATGCTTCGTTCTAAAGGTCATGAGCAAGTTCATGACAGGAATGCTTGGATTGTTTGCCATCGCCGTGGCCGTTGCTAGCTTTTTCCGCATCACCACAGTGGCTTTTGTTTGGCTCGCTGTTGCAGATGTTCTCATCGTGGCGATGGTCTTCGTGGTCCTCCTTGGCATTGGAGGGACGGCGAAACTTCCTCGTGGGCTAGATGTGGTACAGTTCTTTTTTGCCAGAGAGAGGCTTGCCTGCCACCTCGCAGATGGGAGTGACGGCTCGTCTGACGATGAGGGCTCTGGCTCGTTGGACGGCTCGTAGCAAAAGAAAGACGAGTGTGGACAGCTGAGCTGCAGGGAAACAAGCCCTCCATTCTTCGAACTCTCTGAGCCTGTTGAACATCCGAAGCTGTTTTCACAGCAGCTGTTTCAGTTCTTTACATTGCAGGTGACACACCCAGGTGAAGAACAAATCGTAGGGCATTCATGGCAGTTAACATCAATTTTGTGCGCTTATGGTTTCTGGCTGTACCCACGCTTGCACGTATCCATCGCTGGTAGGTTGGAGGCCATCGCTCTTAGGTTGAAGGCCATACCAAAATCCAATTCATCCAATCTTCCCGGCCATGCGACTCTGGCTGCGACTGGTGAGTGTGAGTGTCTCTGGGGTGCTTGCTGGCCGCGATTGTTGGAATTCCATTGCGCGCACCTTTCCGGCACCGGAGAAGGACCAGCCTCATGAGCTCTGGCTTTCCGATCTGAAGAGATGGAGAGAAGAACACCTCAGGAGAGGTGTGGCTGCCTTATTGGTGCTCCATGTCTCTGGGGGTCGAGGGCTCCATGTCTTCAAACATCTGCCTGGTGGCGGTTGTTTTAACGGTTAAGATTGCTTCATTGTCATGGACATTTGCACATCAAGAGTGCTTGTTTGAACATGTGAGGAGCTATGTTGATGAGGCCTATCAGGAGGATACTCTGTACTGGACGCGCACTTCTTTTGTTCAGCCTCAGGTTCACCTGTATGATAGGCACCCTGCTGAGATCAGTCTGGCAACATTTTTGGGATCATGCAGCAAAAGCTGGTGTAACCTTTGTCCTGAAAGATGACAGGTGTAGACTGTAGATGGGTGTATGTGCAGGCTTTGGTTTGCGTTGAGGTACAAAGGTAACGCATATTAATTCAGCAGTTGTCGACAAGGAAACCCGTCCATTCCCTGAATTTGTCGTGCGAGTGTGCAGTTTGGACGTGCACATATCCTTTGGAACTCTATATTCATCCACAGACTGCTCAGTACCGGATGTGCAAACAGTTCATTTGACTTCATTTCATGAACATTTTCCTGTCATTTTACGAAGGCCCACCCTGAAACAAAGCACCCGTGTTTCTTTAAACTTTGAACAGACTTTTGACACCTTTTTGTTCTCCCCAAGAAGCTACGAACGTCACAAAGGGCATCGCTAGGAACGGAGCGATCCGACGCTACGAACGGGGCGCTCCTGGCATTGCTACGAACGGAGCGATCGGACGCTACTTGCTTCTTTTTCCGCTTTTTCCCTTTTTTTTTTTTATTCCTCCCTTTGGACCTTGAGACCTCTTCTGATCGACCCCCATGTTTTGTTCCCAAAAGAACGCTGTCTCAGACCGAACACGGACACCGAGCGGCCTCTCCTGTCTTCCCACGGTGGTTCGTGGTCGGGTGGATGCTCGGCCCTGTGAGGTACTTGTTCGATGGCACCTGGACAGTTGAGAGGTACTTGAAGGATTTGAAGAACCGTTACGGTGGCATTGACTCCGTTCTGCTCTGGCCGACCTACACGAATATTGGTATTGATGATAGGAGCCGTGTGTTTTGACCTTGTTTCTGTCGCACACATGGCGATGCAGCGGGATATTGTGAAGTCCACTCATGCTTCTCTATCAGCTTCAAAAAGGTGACACCTATATCCCACCGTGATTCAGGAATGGGGTCATTCTGCCATAGGACTCGGCAACCGGTCGTCCAAACGGACTGTGCTTGCCTCGCAGGAACCAGTTCGACTATTATCGAGCCCTTCCGGGTGGATTGCACGACCTGGCCAACGTCACAGCCGAGTTCCACCGGCACAACGTGAAGGTCCTTTGGGGCCGCGCAGCTGAGTAGGAGAACCACAAAATCTCATGCATGCTCCCCCCCCGGACTGACTGGGGGTCCGTCCACATCTGAGTGGTCCATGCACGACTTCTGTGCCAGCACACACGGAGCTCGCTCTGCAGAAGCGAGCACGGTTCGCTCTGCAGGGTTCCGCTTGTGTTGTCCAACACCTGAGGCTACAATCCTTGGGACCAAGCGACCCGACGAGAAGGTGCCGATTGGGATGTCATCGCGAAGCTCTTGCAGGCCACAGGAGGCGCCCCCAGACACGCCGTGCGTCGTCAACGCGCGCGGGCGAAACGGGGCGTGTGTGCCGATTGGTCAAGTTCAGATCTTAAGACGTCACAAGGACCACAGGCAGCAAACCTGCCTATACCTGCCTCAAAGATTTAATGACCCTGACTTGTTCGACGCATGCTGAGACGTTTGGCTTCCACGTCCACCAATTCGGCTAGTTTGCTAGCAGCCTAGCATAGGCACCTCTCACATACCACCCACAACAACCGTCACCATGACCTGACTGATGGCTACTACTGGAGCTTCTACCGCTGCTCTAAAACTCAGTTTTTTGACATGGTAGTTCTGGTGCGTCAGAAGTTTTGAAAGAACTTCAAGCTTGTCCAGCCAGAAGGTTGGATGGACAAGTCCGACCAAGTCATGAAGCTTCAAGTTTCTTAGCACATGTCGTCCAATTTACGAAATCGAAGTCCTGCAAGCCTGCCTGCGAGGTGACGGTTTCAATGGTGACACCATGATGTACATTCCAGAGGACCGTTCTATCACTGTGCTTTCATTTGATCTGAGCAACGCAGAGGGATCATGTTTGATGACGCTTCTTGCATGCTCAGACCGCGGTCAGACCGCAGTCAGAGGCCTTTTGATCACACTTTCAGCTTTTGACCATGGCCTACGTGCAAACCTGCGTGCAAACCCTTATTTGTTCAGACGGCCTTTTTGTAGTGCTCACTCAAACGCAGCTGAGCCAAGCCCTGAGCGCTGAAGGAGTTCTGGCGTGCCTCCCTCCGTCTGGGCTATCCCATTGCTGCCGAGCCCGAGGGAGGAGGTTTCAGCTGTGATGGCAACTGGAGCTCTGCAGGAGTTTCAACGAGAACATCGCGTTGTGAAAGACGTCAAACCAAACTCTTGCGGACATCGGATCCAAGCGCTTGGTGGAGTGGTGCAAAAGAGGATCCCAAAAAGGATCCGATCGGCACCGGGTGCGGCGGTGCTTCGCTTCTACTTCGTTCGGTGTGAGGATGGACGCCCTTGGGATGGGGCTACTTCGGCCACAAGATCGACAAGATGACGTACAGCTATGATTTTGCACCAGGCTTCCATGTAGTCTCAGCAGAGGCTCAAGAGGTGAATCAGTGAAGAACCAACACGAACCAAAAAATCGCCTACTTCCAAATCTCATGGTGTGGCGAGCTTGCAGAATGCATATGAACATCCCAATCCGAGATCCCGTGATCGCCTGTTTCTGTGTGCTTCGACAGGTGTTGATAAGCTCAAGTGGCTGGATCCGAAGGCGCACGGTCTGTTGGAGTGTCTGTTTCCAGACGTGATATAAGCGATAAGCGATGTGTTTGTAGTTCGGTTGGAATGTCAAGGACCAGATTGAGTATGGTATTTTTTTCATCCAACTTTGCACTGTTGCTGTCCCAAAGAGCAACGACTACAAGCCATGACTGTGCTGCCGCTGCCTCAGCAAAAGAAAAGAGGCAGCACAGTCTGCTCTACTCGTTGCGGATGTACCCGGATTGCTACCCTGCTGATCCCTGCTGCACCTCTGCTCCAGGGCCGTCATTTGACCCACGTCTGCGACCGCTGGTCCAAGAATCGCACCAGTGCCATTCAGCTGGCGTTCTTCAACGGAGATGGCTACGAAGCCTGGGACCGCCGCTCCGCAAGAGCGATCGATGCCGTCGGTGAACTCTGCGCGGGCGCGCGACATTGGTCGCGGGGTGCTCCCTTGGTCCAAGGCTTTTTGGTGTGACGTGCCAATTTGGTCGTGGGAACCGAAAGAATGGCAGAGTAGGGATGCTCTGTCCACCGTGGAAAGTCAGTCCTTGGATGTCAACAAGTTGCAATAGCTTTTGTGGATAGTCAGCTGGGAAAAGCTGGGAAATGCCAACCCGCGCTAAGAGCATTAAAGGCCGAAGGTGGTACACCATTTGGTAGCTCTATATTCTCTTCTTAGCCCCAGACCTAAAAGCTCTGCAGCAGTTTTCGTGTAAGTAGATATACGCTGACTGCGCCTTGCATGGTAACATGCCACCCAGACGCCTGATCTGTTCATTCCACTTCACTTGGCAGCTCTTAGCTTAGCAGCTCTACATTCTCCACCACACCGGGCAACGAAAAAACCAGGAGAACATTTGGGGTCTCTTCAACCGCCTCACCGAGCGCGATGCGGCGCTGCTGCGCCGCGCGGCCACGCTGCTCCGCTGGGCGGGGCGACGCAACTACACCCACGACTTTGAGGCGAGGCGAAAGCCGGCCGGTGAAGTCCAGTTGAGTCGGGTGGAGTCGGGGCGGGCCCGAGTCGGGTGGATGTAGGATGGATGTAGGATCAATATGGATGATTTGGAGAAGAGAGTTGAGGAGGTGAATAGCAATGGCTTCAAAAATTCGAATTCCATCGCCAGAAGCAGCTTTCGGCCGAACAGGAGTGGATACCCCACACACCTGAGGCGCGTACTTGCAGGGTTTTTGCTCAAGTGCCGTTTTTGAAAAGTGGTTTGAGCAAGAGTCCAGGTGGCCCTTTCGCATCATGGCGTTTCGTTGGTCACAGGCGCCCACCGGGTCTGCACCGGGTCCGCACCGGGTCCCACGAGGCCAGCGCCCCGGAGAAGGGGATCTTCGCCTCGCTCTTCCGGCGACGAGGCGTAAGACCCGGTGCGGGGACCCGCGCGGCGGACCGGCGGAGCGTGGGCGGAGCGTGGGCGATGTTGGACAGGGCGAACAGACATCACTTCGGCTTCTTTGTTTGCTTACTAGTAGCTGTCTCGATCAATCACTGTGCATGCTTGACGATAGCGGTGCTATCGACTTCTTCTGGTGAAGCAGACATGTGGATCGCTCACCAGCCGCAGGTGATGCTTTGTGGCTGGTGGTCAACAAGGGCATGGTCGATGCCAAAGTGGATGCCACGAGCTTGCGATGGATGGTGAGGGTCCAGGAAGTCTGACTG